ACTGCGATTGTTTGAAAAAATTTTGATCAATCGTTAGACTAGTATCTGTTTCGAGAAATTGAATATGAGTGGTTTCTATAATAATTAGATTAATCTTTTTTTATTAGGGTTTGATAATGAGTTACTGTTTCTGTATTGATTATTCTGACTATTATTTCAACTCTATCTTTTTTTGTGAAAATGACTGTGATTTTCGTCTATCAGTTGATAGTCCACGAGAATAATTAGAACGTCGAGATTGTAGTCTGCTATTACTAAAGCTAGAGTGAACCTGCTTTCCTTGAGCTGTTATTAATTTGAATGTTTCTATTTGGTAAACTACGTCCTTTTTTTCATGGATTCGTAGAAATATTTGTTTGGTTCTTTGTATTTTGATGGTCAATTTGATTTATTTTGTTGTTTTTGTCTAGCATAAGCATTGCTTTTTCTTTATCTAAGGCTATAAGAGCACCTTCTTTTGAATAAGGGTTTTCCTTTAAAAATTCGTGTTCCTTGAAATTTGAGTATATAATTTGAGTGGTTTTTTTCTGCCAAATATTATCGGTGTCTTTGAATTTATTTTTGTTTTGAAATGTTGTTGTTTGATTGTTTTCACCTATAGTAATTTTACTTTTGATGCTTGTTCTAGTTTAATTGTGATTTCTAGTTCTAATTTGTCTTTTATAGTAGAGGAATCTTTATTTGGCTCTCGAAATGATAATGGATGCGATGCTTTCATTTTTAGTGCTACATTCTTGATTGTGGCGTTAAATTTATTGTGGCGTGCTCAATTAGGGAAAATGCTTTTCGAGTTTAAATTCTTGTTGCGAGTTGTTTTATAGTTTTAAATGGGAGTGTGCAAATTTCAACTGTATTTTGTATCAGTGCTGTGCCTTATGGGACCAATTCTGGTGAATTGGCGTTTTGATGGGTTTTGGGTCTATATGTAATATTAGGTTAGCTTTGACACCGGTTAAATAATCTTCTACTGAGTATTCAGGATCGGTCTCTGCAAAAAGATTGATTTTTTTTATATTGGTTTCTATAGATGATCCATCCATAAGGCGTGGATTCATCATCATCTGAGTGATTCTGCTGTACTTGGAGTTTGTGTGAAGTTTGTAAGTTGGTTTTAGTACTTCATGTTGTTGTAAAAGTAGTGTAATGGAATTTCATTTCCCATTGAGCCGTTTTGTTGGCCTTGAGTATTTGTATAGTATTTTGATTGCATGTTGTTTATCTGGTTACACAAAAATGTGTCTTGGAGGGAATAGTTGTTTTTTTTGTCTTGATTCATAACGTCTGATTGGAAAATATCATCTGTTTGATCTATTTCTTTCAGTTGTTATTTCTTTGATCATTTTTTTTACTGTTGTTGGTTTCGATGAAAAAAAGTTTGATCTTCGGAATAATGTAATTGGTTCCTTGTGAAGTGTCTAGATTCGTAGTTCCAATATTGCCGTGTGAGGTTCGTAGTTCCAATTAAATTTTCTTTTTTAGTTATAAATGTTGAAATTAGAATTTTTTGAAAGTTCTATCATTGAATATTGTGTTATGATTTAAAAGTGTGGCATCAATTGTTTACGGAGTTACCCTTAAAAACTCTTTATGTACTGAGATGGTTGCAATTGCAGCAATTGAATTACAGATTTTTGCAGCAATTGAATTACAATTGAAAAAAAAATGAGACCATTCTGGGTCCAGTTCATAATCTGTTTCATCTGCTAGTATTTTTTCGTCGTCATTTTGTGGTTTAAAAGTTTCTCTTCCTTTTGAAATGATATCTAGGTTTTAATTTATTATGAACCATGCTAAAAAATAACCTAATATGAACCTTATTAGGATTCTTTGTAAGTCAACTTTATTCTTTCGTGATTTTTCAATGGAATTAATCTATTATGCAGCATGCAAGAATTCTTGGTATGTCAATTTCAATCATTTGTGAGATTTCAACGTCGGTGATTGTTTCACGAAACGAATCTAAGAATCATTAAAAGAGATTATCTTCGCGTCCTACAGTTGCGTGTCCAGATGTTTGTGGTAGAGATATATAGAATGTCTCGTTTGTCTCCGATATTGAAACGTTACTATAATTGATGGAAAAAGCATTTGCAAAATTTGAGTTTGGTCGTTGTGAGATTCGATGATGAATATTTTTAATATATTCTATTAAAACTTTTGAGAAGTCTAAATCTATATCATCTGTTTGTATTCGGTGTGGCGGTTGGTTTGATGATTGTGGTGGTAGAACTTCAATGGTGGATATGACACAGTGTGAGGTGATTTTACTTACATCTGGTAGATAGTGATCATGTACTTGTCTTCTGACTTCTCCTTCCGCGAATTCTTAATTACTTGGGCTTTTTCAATTTTGGAACAAGTTTTTTTATTTAGTTGCGGAAAAATTGTACTTGTCCTCTCATTGGATCGCTTTATGGGTCAATAATAAAATAAATGAAAGAATCATCGTAAAAGTTATCGTCGTTTTGAATCAATTTTGTGCGGTATTACGGTTAACGTGTAACTTTGAAGATCTGGCGCAATCTTACTGGTTTTCGGATATATGAGCTTTTTATTCTATAGTTGCCTTTTATGGATGATGCTGTTGTGGCATCCGATTCGAAAAAAAAACAAATTTTGGATTCTCCACTGGCTTACGTTTTTCATGTATTAGGTCTCAAAATGTTGAAGTTTTTGTATTGTTGTTGAGTCAGATTCCAAAACAGCGTTTTGTGTATTGGAAAATTTTGATTTTATTATTTGCTTTGGAGAATATCACCTTCTTATTGTTTGCTTTTTGATCTATTATATTCTAATTTTTGTCTGTGCGGTGTACTTAGAAGATCATTTCTTGCTTTTTTGATAAAAACAATTATGGAGAATTATTGTTTGTTCATTTTTCAAATTATCTCATGACATTAGTGATAGAATGATTGATCCAAAATCCGGCTGTTAGTTTTATTTGCACAACTGTTATTACATAAGAGTTTCGTGAGGTTATCTTGTTTCTCGGTGTAGATTGTCTTGAATAGACGGATTGGGTAGAGAGTATGGTCAGAACAATTTTTTACTGCTCTCAAGTGTATAAATTTTTTTAAGTAAAATTTATTATTAAATTATTGGTGTTTTGATTTGAGATCAACGGTTGGGAACACTAAATCATACTGCATAGTTCAGGTATAACTAGAACACAAGTAGATTTTTATATGCTATTTTAATTTTTACTTTTGCTGGAATTATTCTAAGCATGGGTCAATTAGGAGGTGAGGTTCACGTGGAGGATGAGTAACTAAAGTTCTTCGCTGTTAATCTTACTTGAGTTGGTTAGTCTTTGAAAAGTTTCAGTGAGCCTTTGGTCGTTGATAAGGGTTGGAAACCGAATCGTCAATTGAGGTCGTTAGACACTAGTTCTAAAAGATAAGGGTAAAATAAAAATTTTGAGTTGATCCAAGGAAAGCCTTGATTATCGAATATTTTAAGGACTAAAAAGTTATAGTTATGGATGAATTGTTAATTTTAAAGATTAGGTTTAAAAATATATATCCTAGGATAGTTTTGTTGATCTGATTTAAAGAAAAAATTTAGGTTTGAATTTAACAAGGATAGACTTTGACAAGGTTTAGTTCAAAGTTGAATAATTTAAGAAAAGGTTAGAATTAAATTTGAATGAGGTTAATTATTTAATTTAACTTTGTGGGTTATGGGTGAAGAAGAACAATAAGAAAAAAGAAAGTCCTCGAGAAGCAGGAAATTTTTTATATTTTGAAAAAACTAAACACAAATAAAATCACTAACTAATTTTTTTATTTTCTATTTGTTCAATAAAAATAGAAATCAAATGTTTTACCAAAATCAGTGCAAAATAGAAATTTTTGAATTAGACGGCTGGTTTTTGGTCGACTGGTTCTTTATATGGTATTTTTATATGTAACGGAGAGAGATATATAGCTTTGAAATGAATGCTCTATTCATTGCAACCCATATTAATGAGTGAAAATGTACTGCAAAAAAGTTTTTGTGGAGAAATAGTCGTTGTAGTCTGGTTCATCGCTTCTCAGGAGGATCGATTTTTCGTTCTGGTTGTGACCTGGTGTCAGCCTGATTTTCCGATTGAATCGATTAGACTTATTGAGACGTGGAAATAAGCTAAATGAATAAACTTTTTAATTTATCTTGGGAATAGGTGATTTGATTTAAGTTCTTTTTTTGTTTTTGATAAATCCTAATTAGTGGAGGTCTGTTCGAGACACTTTCGGTCGCACCTGATGAGCTTAGGTCCTGAGGGGTTTTCTCATAGTGTAATTTTGGTTAGGTTACACTGTCTGTTTGCCATGCTCTGTTTTTTTTCGGCCGGATAGTTTCGAGCAATTTCTTAGTCTAATACCAATCCTAACCTTAATATTATATCTTCTGGAATGAATAGATCTAGTAAAAACTGGAATTGTTGCGAGGTTTAGAATCAAGAACAGATTTTAGAGAGCGCAAATTTTTGCTAAGGAAAATTATTTTAATCTGGATGAAACTATAAATAGTTTCAGCCTTACAATGTATTCTAAGTTTTAGTCTTGGACCATGATTGATTAGTTCTAAGTCTTTTAGATTATTAGGTAAAAATCTAGAATATAATAAGATATAATAAATACTTGTTTCGAACTGGTTCCAGCGAGTTATCTGACTCCTTAGTTTTTTTTTATTTTCAACGCATTTTTTAAGAAAAAAATTTTGTTTCAGTGATAATTTATATGAGGAGAACTTTAGCTGTAAGATATTAAGCAGCTTTTTGTCGTGAAAAAATGCAAAAAATTACCTGCGGAATCGTCATCGTGTTCGTGAAACTTGAATATCGTTATTTTTTCCTTGTAGTTCAAACATTCCATCAACCAATCCAGTGTCTGGTCCAGAGTTTCCCCTTTCATGTTGAGATCCTTTTCCGTCTTCTTACGAATAAGTTCTTTTATTCCGTCCTCCGATTTTTCAGGGTACTTAGAGTTTTTAGACTGAGGCTCACACGTCAAGAAATTGATATCATCGACTAATTTCACAAAAACGAATTGATTTTTTTGACTATTTTCAATAAAAAGAAGCAAAAAGTTATTCTCAAGCCAGTACATACATGGAAGAGTTTTTATCATTTAATCAGTATCTCTTAAACTGTGAAATAAATCATAGGTTTCCATCAAATTTTTCGTACAATTATTTTCATCAACTTTGCCACGCTATATATTTTTAACCGGTTAGCATCGCACAATTCCTTAGACAGGTCTAGATTTTAAACTTAATCTTGATTTCCTTAGTCTCAAAAGATCTTCGAAAACACTGTTAAAACAGAGGTTAGTTTGTAGGAAATTTTCAGTGTGCTAAGAAAATGGTCTTATTAGATAACTGATCAGATAGAGGGTTTACAGGGTGTAGGCATTTATCAAAATCAGTTAGTTTCAAAATAAAAGTTAGTTATAACCAGGTTAACAAAGCACCAACGCGGGTATAATACGGTTTTCAAAGTTTTAAAACAGTTTGAACTCTTGGCATACTTTCCGAGATTGTTTTGGTGCTTCTAATAGAGTAGGCAGTTATAGCTGGGGGTTCAACATGTACTGAGTCGATGAACGTACCGTGAGGTATCTGTGGACAATAAGGGATTAGTCGAAGCGTACAGTTCTGCTAGAAAACCCTAAACTAATAAACATAAATATGTATTAATCTATATACTCTGAGCTAAAAGGAATCTTCGGACCTCAATCATTGATCACAGTGGTACTTCTCATATTTTGTCTCTGGTCGTGATTTGTTTGCATGAGATGCTTTCGAGTCTGGAAAATATAGATTCGAGCTTCACACTTCGTCTTGCAAAATGGTTATAGCTTCAGAAACATTTAAGGCATGTGTTACTGCAAATTAGTGGTTTGTTGACCCTGATTAGTCGAAATAGTTAATTGCAATAACTGGTCAACAATTCGATTAGTTTAAACGCGTTTTGTACTCCGAGTTGTGTAGGGAAGTGATGATTGCGTCTAGATGTTATTCATGTTTTGCTGCACCTTTCGAGCACCGTTTTCTAATAAGAATAAATTTCATGCTTTTTGAACTGCTCATGTTTTAATCATAAATTCAAGGTCATAGTTTCAAATAAAATTGTAATTCCAGGTTTTTTTGCAACAGTGGTCTATTAGGATAAAACAAATTGGGATGTTTTTAAATTTTAAAAGACCGTTTGTATCAGGACGAATGTTCCGGCTGAATTTCAAGCTCAATGAAAAAAAATTTTTAAAAAAGTTTGAAATTTTTTGAGTTTTTTTCAAAAATCGTTCCCTACACGCCCTATAAATTACAAAGTGATAGATTTAACTCATCGTACGTTAACGTACCATTTCTGACGAGTACCCGTTTCAACTAATTTTGAACAATTTTTAACACGGATTAAATTGGTAATCTTTAAAAATGGGATTTCTATAGGCTGTATGAATTCATGCAGCAAATTGCCACATCTTTCTGGTGGCTGGCTGACGCTGAAAAAGAAACGTTGAAGGATGGGATGGTAATTTAGTAATGATTCGTGCAACACCGACAGTTGAAATTTATGGGCATGGGTGATTTGCAGCGCGAACATTTCGGTTTAAGTTTTTTATCATTTTTTTTTTGCATTTTTTTGGTATATTCCCCTCACGCTATTTAACACACAAGGGGTGTGTTTAGCTTCACGTATTGTTTCAATATACTAATAGTATTGGCGCGTTTATATTGCGCGTTTGATATCCAAATCAGTCAGATTAGCAGTTTTCAAACCCCATAAACTGCGTTGTATGATTAGGATTAAAAAACAGTTTCTGAAAAACTTTAAATTCAATGCGAAGATTTCTATTTCAAAAGAACTTTTTCATAGGTCGTGTATGGCCTTATGTTGTGCTTCCAGAGCAAGAATTTTTGAATGGCAGTTTAGGGTTTGGTCATTTTTTCGGTTTTGTAATTTTTTTCCGTAATTTTTTTTTCTCGTTCATCAATCTGAATCATGTAAATTGGAATTGCATTTTCCGAATCTTGATTTTAACAGTAGTTTGTTTAATTGGTAGGATCTTGCTAACTATATCCCCCCATTTGCTATCTTGTAACGAATCTCTCCCAATCCTTAGAGTAGATCTATGTTGTTGAGTATTATATATCTACTGTGAAATATTTTTGTCAATTTGAATTTCTATAATTCCAACTTTATTGTTCCGACTTTGAAGAATGTGACGGAATAATTGTGCTAGAGGTGATTTTTGTCTTCAGTCAAATTTCGACCTAACTATCTAATTTTGACGGAATTTTTTCTATCAACCGAAAGGTATTGTTGTCTTGAGCTCAAATTCAAAAAAATATATTTTACCTGCGATCAATTTTTGTAATACCATAGGGGTTTAAAGGTTGCCAATAGGCCCAATTTGGGACTATTAAACGCGCGATATATTTCGCGCTATTGAAGAGTAAGCGGTGATTTAATCCCTCTTAAAAATTGCTCGAAATTTTTTGAAGCAGGCTATTTGTCATAGATTCTTTGTTACTAGGAGCGAAATCTATCAGGTTCTTAAGACTTCATGAAGCGGTTGTGTGGGGGGTAGGGGTAGGCTTATTTTTTGAACATTTTTCCATTTTTTTCTCGAAAAATTCATCATTCAAAAAATGTTTCATTGACCATAAGGGCAATCAGAATAATCAAGGCGGCGCCATGATACGAGCAGACTTGTTTGTTTTCTTCTCGGAACAAAACCAAAACTAGTAAGTTCCCAAGGAATTGCAATTGTCCTCCATTTAAGAGAGCAGTTTTAAAAAGCTGAAATGCGGTAGTTAATTTTCAGTCATAGACGTATTACTGTTTTTGTACTCCGGGCATAGGTCCGAACAGTCTAACAGTAACCGTGCGAAATTAATGTTTGATTGATCGGTTGATTGACGGTGCAGGTTTTTATGTTTTCAAACTGTACTATTTTTATTTGATATGTACCTACGTATCTTTCGGTTTCTTTTTTCTTACTGTGGTTGTGTTTTTTAATGGTCTGTTTTTTGTAAATCGGAACGATTGCTTACTTTTTTTGACCGTCTTTTTTCTAATTTTAAAAGTCGGAATTTTGCTTTATCATTCATTTCTTTGCTAAAACCATTGGGTCTTCTGGAAGTTTCAGAAATCTGATGAAAACGTTTCTGCAATTTCCAAAATAACCGATGGTTTTAGCAAGCAAATCAATCAGAAAGCAAAAATCCGACATCAGAAAACTTTTAAAATTAGAGATAAGAAAAAACTGAAAAAAATACATACACAAAATATGATGGGTTATGACAGAATTGGTTCCTAGTTACATAGTATGATAGGTCAGCTTGGTCTGGTTTAGTAGCACAAGTTTGTGTAGATCGTGAATTAAACATTGTAAACCGTGAAACAGGTTATTAGCTCGTTATTTGATATTGCGGTTAAGTCTTTTCAGGACTTTCAATTTCCTATTTCGTTAAAATCCTGGATCAATTAAATGGTAAGTGTGTTATAGCTTACACAGACTGTGTATCTCAATTGAGAAGGGTTCGTATAATAAATCTTAGATTCAATTTTGACGGTTTGGGAAAGTTGGTTTTGGTTTGTTTATCAGGGTTACTCATGGGTGATTACCACAAACGAGAACATGATAAAAAATAAACGAAAACATGAAAAGTTGAGTTGATACAAGTGATGAGCTAATAAAAGGTTTAATTTATCGGTCAAATGTTGTTAATTCAGATCAGATTAAATATACTTTTCATATCTTTTTTATTCATTTTTACAGATTTGATAGATTGCCTACTCTATAAAGATGAAGACCAGTGGGAATGTTCGATAGTTTTGGTGATTCGATCAGGTTCCGGGCTGAACAAAACTTCTTATCATACAATTTCCATAATTGAAAAACTTCTTACCATACAGTTCCATACAACTCCATACGTACACAAAATTATATGAAATCTCAAGGATAAGCATTTTGCCATATTGAGTTAGGTCCTTTAGGTTAACTCATAGAGTAAATTCGGATAGGGTACACCGTCTGCTCGTCACGCTATCTTATTTTCGGCCGGATAGATTCGTGCAACTTCTTAGTCTAATACCGATCCTAATCTTACTCTTAAATCTACTAGTCTCAGGGTGTTTAACTAGTCTCTGCTAGGCTCAATAGATCTAGATTATACTGGCTCATTGCGACTGCTGAAGTTCTCTTGGAGAGGTAACTATTTTCTAAGTTAAATAAAAAACTCTCTGGTGCTGAAATTACAAGTAATTTCAGCACTTACAAATAAGTGGGTTGTTAGTTGGATGGATTATGATTGGTTAATATTAAATATTTTACACTGGTAAAATATCTAATTTATCCAATAAAGTTTAGTGTAGTTTGGATCAAGTTCCACCCATCCGGGGTTTAGAGAGTTTTTTAGAACAATCTTTCTTTCTGCAATTGAAGGGTGGATGATGAACGTTGGTATTTGGCGAACATCGTTTTCTTATCCGGTTCCTCTTGAAGAAGAACGTTCCAGGACGCTGGAATCAGATATAGGAAATTGTTACTTTATCACTCGACAACGACTGTGATCCCCAATGAAATCAATCCGATTTCAAAATGGTCTGCTATGTCAGGTTTTTCTGTATTAGTAGAGAACTGTTTGGTGTGCAGCCTCGTCTGGAAATGGCGTGAAAATAGTGTTTGGAAGGGATGAATTGTAACTCGGATCTGTACGTATACTTGAACATCGAGGTGGTCATTGGTCTAGTTCAATGAAGTCCTTTTCTGCGAGGTCAAGTCGCACTCTAAATCCTTTGAGTCGTGATTGTGGACGGCATGTTGGTTGTGTTTAGCCATACTTTTGTTTCAGTGTGATGGGATCGTCTCGTCTTTGGATGTTCGTCTTTGTTATTATGTATGATCTATATACTGCATAGTATGAATTACATTTTAAAAATTTTTGTTAGTTTGGTTTTTCAATCATGATCTTAGTTAGTCGTTTTCACAAAAGCGTTTTGTTTTAGTTCAGTTATTTTGA